TTCAGCTGTAGCACCCTTCCGGTGCCTAGCTGCCATGCTACCCGAAGGAAGCACGAGGGCTGGGATACTGCCAGGTTGCCCAAGCCTAGACAGGGGAAGTCGAGTGGCGGAGGTCGGATTCGAACCACGGACCTTCTGGTCAGTAAATTCTCGCTCTAACCACTTTGGCCATCTCGCCCCAGATCCTTCTCGAATGCAGACGATTCTAAATAACTTAAACAACTGTGCCGCACGGTTCGGTATGTGCTTCACACCTGCAACGTGTGAAGTGCTGCTACAAGACTAGGTTGGATCAAACACACACCTTGTGTTTGCAGGTGAGGCGATCGACATGGTAGATAAATTTATTTATCTGGGCAACTGTAAAAGTTCCGGTGGACTGGTTGGAGATGAGATTATCTCCTGAATAGGAAGGGCCAGGACAGCTTTTGCCAACCTCCGACACCTGCGGTACCGAGGTGACTCAGTTTGCGTGTCAAGGGCAGAGTTTACACAGTGGTGCGATCCATACTACTTTATGGATCAGAAACGTGACCCTACGCGCAGAGGACATACGAAAGATGTCGGTGTTTGACCATCGGTGTCTTCGAAGCATCGGTCGGGCCTGGTGGGAACATCGGACTAATAATGCTGAGGTACGCTAGATTATCTTAGGAAGAAGGAACTCTCCGCGAAGGATGAATTTCTCACGTTTCATACGTTACGCTGGTTGGAACATGTACTCTGCACACCTGAAGACCGTCTGCCTCAGTAGCTCTTTTTGCTCAGCCTTGTGCTGACTGGAACCAACCGAGGGTGGACAATGTACGACCTGGCAACGAAGTACTAAAGGACTAACCAGTAAGCTTAGTCAGGTTAGCAACTGCCGCTTCCCTGGATGGGGGCCCAGGGACTGAACTCACCAATGGTTGATGGCTGACAGAAATAGCTCCATCGTTCAATCAATGGCGCTCGTGGATAAAAGCTGTCGCCTTAAATACGCGACTTCCCAGTTCTCGAACTAGCCAGGACTTTGCTGTATGTCCCCTTTTCCGGTGGTCGGTTGTTTAGCAGCTGGAAGAAATGGCCCTGTGGTACACGGCTTATAGCTTATACATTGTGCTGAACAGTTTGAGTGGGGACATTGCATGAAACGGTAGCTGGTCCGATTCATAAGCGTTTGTGTTTTCAGTTTTTCTCCAGATCGTCTGATTGAGCCCTTGGATGTGTAGCCACCTCAGAATACTTGGCATAGGGCGTCAGTACGTCCTCTCTTGTTTTCACTGTACGGTTTTAAATGTAATTGTATGAGCTTTATGGTTGTGCGGCAGTGAAGCAGCGGTGTCAACATTGATGTTACTGCCGCTGATGATAATGATGATTATGATGGTGATGATAATGATGATGATGATTATAGTGGTTATAATTGATGGTGGTGATTATGACGATATTCCAGATCCATAGTGTGTTCGTCAGGAGCCATTTCAACCGCAAGCTTTTGAAGACGTTCCAGCGTTCACCTCATATTGTTAATCGGAAAATCGAACAGTAATGGAGACAGTTGGCGTACTTGTCCAACAAGGTCTTTTGAAAGCTCATTCTATACTATCACGCCCCCGGAATTATGACGATTCAAGTAATATAACACGTGGACACAATATTTCATTCCTTCTGTGAATGTGTTAAGGGAAACACGCTGNGAATAAGATGGACTGGGTCATCCAGGTCTGCCGAAATTTTGGTTTGATTACACGTATGACGTGCGTGCGCTTTAAGATTTAGTCAATACAGCCCCTTGAATCAATGCTTCATAGATGGTGCAGGACACGCGAAGCTAAGAGTCTTGGTACGACGAGTCAGATTGATGCTCTGTGATGACTGCTGGCTGTTTTTTAAATCGTCACTATCACCGATTTATCGGGACAGTCTACTTTTCCCAGATGCAGGTAAGTAGATCAGACAGACGCCAACTGAACACTTGTCAGTTTTGAGCAATTTGGGCTGGAGGTCTTCCTGATTAGGAGGCACACTGGGAAGTTATGGAAGTACGAGGCTTGAAGATTGATTTTGAAATGTTTGAGGCTGTCGGCTTCGGCTGACTTGCGCGTGTTGCAGCCAAGACCGATGCAAGACAATGGGAGTCGTCAGTCCTTACAGAAGAGTCCTAAAAGTAGATAGTTATTAACGAGATTACGGAGGGGGAAGGACAAGCAAGTGGAGAAAGAAAGGAGACGTCAACAGTGGCCTGCTTTCCATTACTCGCCCCGCTGAGTGCAGCAAGTAAGGTGACCCGGCTGATGGCACCACGTGACAGCCTTTGTGGCATGTGATTATCTGTAAACACGTAATTCATGCCTCTATGTGAGCGGGAATACTGCCAGGTTTCCTAGACCTAGAGAGGAGGATAATGGAGTCCTCAACTCAAGCGTTTGACTCAAAAGACTGACCTCAAGACAGAAGTGTTCGTCAGGAAACGCCAATGCATTTACTTTCTTGAAAAACAAATTGCCACACGTTCCGACCAGGAGACTATGTTGATCAGACGTCTACCCATTGACCAACCTCGTATAAGAGACTCTGTCACACAGACATCTTCCAGTATAGCTCAACGAGTCACGGAAGGGCACAAGGCTTCATGGTGAGGTTCAGTTTTTTTCATGACGGCCTTGCTTCTAATTGATCTCTGAAACCTTTGTCCCTTTGTTTTCAGCTGCTGCATGTCCTCCACCTTCAGCTGCGCGTTGTGCGACGTACACTGCCCCACAAGACAACAACTGCAAGCCCACGAAGCCGGAAAACGACACATAGCGAACTGCTTTCGGTTCTCAGTTTGTAACGGAATTAGTGTTGTCGGACAGGATTGCTCATCAATCCCAGAGCCTAAGAAGCTCACCCCAGACAAGTCTTCGCTCTCACCATTTAAAATGAGTAGACAGGTTCACCCTGGTGCAAGTCTGCGCTCAGATTCGATAGGTGACCACGAAGTCAATTCACCTGAGAGTAAAACTCTTGGTTCTGTCGGATCAAATTATTGCGAATTCTGCAATGTTCGTCTTAACTCAAGCGATCAATTACGGGAACATCTGGCTGGGCAAAAACATATGAAAAAGGTGAAAAGCAGTTCTTCGGCATCGTTGCAGAACCATGTCGCTACGCTCACTTCATTGCCTGAACGCTCACCAAGGACCAATATAACTGTGAGGAGTGTTTAGCACATTTGTTTCACTGTTGCCCTGAAAAATAACTAATCTGTCGCTTTGTCTGTTAAGTAGTGAAAGCAGCTGTAATAGTCTTCAGTTTCCTTGTAGCGGTTTCTCTATCTCTACGGCCCATAGATATTGGAGTAGACTAAGCTCAACAAATGTACGCAAAGCTTTTGGATGGACTGTTAGTGTGTAATGAACGGATGGCGAGTGAACAGGAGGACTTCAAGGCACGCAGGTTACTCTTTTTTATACACTTGAGGTGAGAGAACCGGAAAGCGGCTTATTGAGCAGTTAGATAGAACAGTATGTATGATGATGATGTTCAAATAGAACAATGGTGTGGGTTGTGTGGCTTCTCGGTCAGTAGTTCTGCATGAATAAGTAAAGGTTCTGTTAGGTTAGTTGAAGAGTCTGGTGGTCAGGCGGGTGTGTTTGGGTGTCGTGGAATTTTGTGTCAGAATTTGTCCTCTTGATATCGGAAAAACGTTTGTTTCGGGCGAATGTATGTTAACACAATTCCCCTGTCACTGACACACCCGTGTTGAAGCCCTCTCCCAAACCATGATTCCTCAAAACTGACACAGGTTCTAGCGTGTGCAACAGGATAACGGATGAGTATTTGGCATGCAAATCACTTGCTTCAGTTTTCCCAGGTGGTCGAAGCAAGTCATCTGGTCAGACGTTGGACTCGCTTTTAAACACCACCAGAGTAAGGAATTATCAATTCCTTATTCCAGCCAAATGTGCAATGCTTTCATAGCGCTGGAGGTCGTGCGTTCCGGATATCATTTCACACAGGCACAAAGTAACAGTGAACTCACTTTAATCCTGCAGACCGTTTTTAGAACTGGCGTGCTGATTTTGCATCGCCCCTCGCAATGCTTAAGTTATGGTGGCTTCAAGTGAGTTTAACCTTCCCCGGAATTCACATAGTCGTCTATCAGTTTGGAAGAGACGTAACCACCTACATGAGTAATTTTATTCACCGGTGCCTTAGTTTTGGGAGTGCCGCGACATATTTGTCGGTATACCGTAGGCTCTCCGTTTTACACCATTTTTTGTCATCTCGACAACTAGTATCTGTCACCTTACCCTTTTATTTTTAGTACTGCTTATTTCCTTGGATCTCCGATTTCATTTGCTCATCTGCGAAATTTTCTAGACTGTTTCGATTTCATTGATATTCAGGTAGCTCCGGATCTTCTTGGCACGTGTATGGATGCAAAACACGATTCTGCGCTCGATCTTACGAAATCCCGGGATAATGCCTCGCCCGTAAATTCGCCAGTTGTCTGCCTGCGCACATTCGTCGCAAACTGTCGACAATATTTGGGTCCGATATGGCCAGGCGTGACGTTTTTACAGCATGAAGTGAGTTTGGATTGCTTGAACAACACTGTCATTTCGGCTCCTTCCCTTGTACGTTAAGTGTCTTAGGGATAATCGCTAGGCGATTTCCTTCATTCGGAGAGCTACAGTTAGCCTCGCCTCTTTTGTGTACGATTATCAAAGCTCTATGAATGGTATACGTCTCAAGTGGAGTGCTACCAAGTTGTCCCCACTGCTTTTGTGATCCGGCATTTCTACTAAATCCGGTGTACTTACAGTGCCGAAGTGATGTACAGGGTGGTGATGAAACATAGCAATTTTGCTTGCTGTTACCTGGGTTTTCGACAAGTCTTTTCTGATGAGTACGCGTTGTGTGCTTTGCTGCAGGCATTTATTTAGTGTTCACGCTAACAGAGCGCCGTTTTTGCAACGTGAAAAGGAACAGCATTAGCTTGTTGGATAGTTTCAGCAATTAGTCACTAAAAGAAGCACAGGATTTCAAGATATTTGGATCCCAAGTCTGTTGGTCTCACATTTTTTTAGTCCTAAAGACTCAGCACGGTAGAACTCCCATTTAGCCTTGCAACTCAGACGTAATAAGATTTGTAAATTTCTAGCTAGTCCGTTGGTGTTTACCCATGTAAAAACTGTCAGCATTCGTGTCTGTAGAGCACGTCATCCTGAAAAAAACCTTGGTTGTAACAGATGCAACCAAGCACTCCCTTCAAAACGCATTCTTCCTGCAGTTCAGTTTCGAAACTGTTGGCTGTGTCCCAGCTCATAAAGTTGTAGCGCTCCTAATATACGTAGCGTTTGAATTCAGGGTCAGTGGAAATCTCTACAATGGACGTTGTTGATCCAACGTGTGGTTGTGAATCGCGGTTTGCATAGTGGATGGATATCATGCTTCAGTTCTGATGTTGACTTCGTTCCAACATTTCGATGGCCATTGACTACCTTTTTTTAACGAATTCTTCCTACTTGCTGGATGTCTTCCAATGGTTCGTGTAATTTGGGCGTCCCGTCTAAGTCACTGTTCGTTACATCACTTTACTGTCCGTGAGCAATTAACGCTTGATCTCCCTTTCTCTACAAATAGTAAAACTAGTGGAAGCACATTTGAAAGAGTTGAAATTAACCGTGGGTTCGAAAAAACTGCGAATAGCGGTTGCTTCCAATTGTAGCGCGTGTTGTTTATTGGAATACGTCGATAAACACTTAAAATTAACCGAGCTGCGAGCTCAAAACTCTGGTAAAGAACACTTTTTGCACATAATCAGCCATGGGACTGTTCTGTACCGTTTGCAGCTCAGCTACGTTTGTTGGCCATTGGTCTGGTCCCCGATCCACGCAGCAGTGATCAATTAAGACTTTGTCCGTCTTTCCAGGCTAGGATGCTGTAAGTTCATGTAGGGACATTTTCAGAAAGTGCACTTGTATACTGACCCGATCGTGCTCTAATGTTTGAGAGAACTATTCGGTCCGCCAGACTGCAAACCATGAACATACTTCCTCCAAACCGGTTCGCCTACACACCTTGACCTGGTATGTATCTATGTAAGATGGAAAGTGCTAGCCATTACTTAGTGGCTTGACGGTTTTTTCGCGTCAAATTCCCTTTTTAGCTTGTCATATTTCGACACAATTCGAAAATGGCATCCTGGTCTGATTGTTAGTTCGTGGTGGACTTTGGGATGCCACCTCGTAAATGATTTCTTGGCCTCACAATACAGCGTGAAGTTGTGTACACTTTTCATCTCATGTCTGTTGGATATCCATATTCAGCTGTCTTCTAGTGGATCAGTGTCCTGTTCGACCAGTAAATAGAACTTTACCTCGATACATGACAGTCAAACATGTGAACGTGCTATCGTTGACGTCGTTCTCTAGATTTCTTACCACGCTTGACTCACTAACGGTATTTTCTCCATATGCTGCCTTAGGCGGACACCCTGGTTTTCGCCTCCGAACTATCAACCGATTGTGTTCTTCGTTTGGAAGATCAAAACGACGGTTGGTTTCGCATTGGTATTCATTTGGTCACCGCCTTGCTGACTGCTAACCGTGAAGCATCTTCGGATCCCACATCGGCCATATGGATCTGCTCGAAAACGGAAGTGGGTCCGGATCGGGGTCTATTCCGCTCTTTCCGTTTTCCGTAAGAACGAAATTGGCGTGGATTCTTATTTATGGTCTGTCTCAATTTCTATTTGAGCGACCGGTTTCGACAACCGCATCATAGTATTGTTTTTCCTACGAAGTGATGTGCCAGTATAGATGTACCTTGGTTGTCCTCCATTTCATCTGCCTGACATTTCAACGCACCCTTTTGTATGAACTGCAAATGGCTCTGTGACTGCCTACGTAATGGTTGGTACTGTGCGTAGTGTTTATAAAGTTTTATCCAGTTGTCACCCTATGATCAGACTATTCACTTGTCCTTGTCACTGCGATACCTAATCAAGTTCGACATTTTTGAATGGGGGTGGTAGAGAAGCTGCTGTGCAGCTGTGTAACCGCCATATTGTGTTCTTGCATTCGTTCATAGCGGCTAAATAAATATGGCACATTTGACATACTTTTCGTTTTGCCCCCAATAATGTCCGAATTTATTCATCTAGGTTATACCACTTGTTCTGCTTTCGCTAGTTCTCTAGCCGTTTATGCCGACCCTCACACCCGACGCAGACTTGTAAACCTTTACGTGTACGCTTGCATGTATATGACCGCTTGGCCTAATATAGTAGGGATAACTGTCAAGATGTGTTGAAGTATCTGTGTGCTGAGCCAAAGCCGCCGATAGGTGAACGGCTTATCACCCGAGAACGCAGTGTGATTGCACTAAGCAGTAAAATGAGTTGGGTTGACAACTGTCGCCTCCCTTGATGGAGTCCTCGGGGTTGAACTCATCAATGGCCCTCCATGGCCGTCAAAGCATAGATGCTCAGTTTCCTGTTTCTTCAACTAACTGGACTGGTTCATTATCAACCATCGCCCTGATTGCTTGAGTGTATCTCTCCCAGTGTCTCTTTCCGGTAACTAGAACTGTTTCAGACAAAACCGACGGATGCTTTATAGCTGAAAGACTGAGTGAAGTGACCTTTGCAGCTATCTTCCCTTTTAGCCAACCTGGTCACACAAGGTGAAAAAACAAGAGAACAAGAGATTCAGGAAGTCGACAGTAATCTTCAAAATGCTTGCTCCGAATGGTTGAGAAAGACCAGTTTCCATGAATGAAGTTCAAAATTGTATGGAGTACAATTAAGAAAGGGATATGCGATCATCAAAGTCTGTCATTAAAGCTGTCTTTAGTACTGAAGACATTCGAGACCAGTGAGTAGACCGTTCGCTGAGCTTGGCGATTTTTCATATCCACAACACGCAGGTTAACTTCCGCGGAAAAAGAACTGTCAGGCTCAGGAAACGGTTTAGGCACCAGCTCTGCAATGTGAGGTACCATCATTCCATGCTGTATAAATCCGAAGTTGCGCACCAGTCGCAAAATATCCGTCATACGTATCCATTTTTCATTGCTCATCGGTACAACTGGTCACCAAGCCAGGAAATGCGTATTTCCGGAAAGCAAAACACCACTATCGCAAAAATATTCCTTTTCTTTTACTTCGCTTTCTTCTCCTTACTTCTTCTTACTTCACTTTTCTTCACTGTACATTGCAAGTCTGTCTTGTTTCAGATCGTACATGCTCACCAGTTTGCCATCAAGCTTGACCAACACGCATCCAATTTTTGCCAATACTGCGGGTCAGTTCGATTACATAGGATACATGACCAGACAGGTTTTGTTGAACAGCTAGGCTGTTTTTATCTCATTCTAATGAATAAACGGGAATTTTTTTAGTGAAGTTTCTATTGAATCATGGAATAGCCGCATCCGCCCTTCTGCAATGGCAGTTTTTGGCCGGCCCTATCATTGGTTGTTGCAGTTAGGCCTTACTGTTCAAATGCAATTGTATAGAGGCGATTTCCGTGGAGCGTAATCGTAAAAAAAAGTTAGAAAGGTTTAACAGTCACCGTAAATGGTTATTCACAACGAAGGTGGATTTCATTCAAATGCACCTTCCATTGGTATAGTTCTCAACTGATCCTCCTGTGTATCTTGCATAGTTAATGTATTACTCCTTTAGGTTGTTACTCTATCGTTTCCAGGCCGACCAGTCAACGAAGTATTCAGTGCCCAACGCTTCGAGTCGTACAACTTCCGTGTGTGAACAGCAATCTCTTAGAATACGACCTTATAATTACTGACGCCGGTAAGTGCTGAAGGTTTCCTTTTCTTTAGTCAAGTTGTTTTAGTCTCTTCATGGACCCCGTACCTGATGGCCTCTCATATGATGCAAATGGTTGTCATTGATCGGCAGTTGAACATTTTATATTGGGCAGTGGTTACATCCTATTCTGGAAAGTTGCCACATCCCGGGCATGGCTTTCTCAAAACCTTTTGAGTGTCTGACATGAAAAGCTGCTCATGTACAGTATAATCACGATGCTGACGGAAGATTAGCTGGGCCACTCTGGCCAGTGACGGATGCGCCGACAAATGGAGTGGATACAGTAGCAAGTGTGGCACAGTCACCTAATGCCCGGCTTTCCTCTATTCCAATCATCGTCTCCAGTGCGCTACATTCTTTATCGACACCACAACCAAGAACAGATATTCTTTTAAATTTTCTTCCAACGCGAATTTTGTATCGGCATGAAAGCTTTCTGCAGGGTATCATCTCTGTGTGTGATTGGGATTTCGATCCACCTTCAATGCATAGTTTCCCCCTCCCAGTCTCCCCAACTAAAAGTTCACTGACAACTCTGTCTTTACGCGTCGATTGTATCAGCTCCCGCCTCCAATGTACAGCTGTCTACCTAATCCACAGATCATCGGTAAACGAGGCTGTGGCAGCTAGGACTACTGTATTGCAAATACGTGGATTTTACAGCTGATGATGATGCGGGATCCAAAGCTGATTTGCATCAATGTTTTAGTTTTTTCTGGCACACTTACTGAGAATGACCAATTCGGTAAACATTTGGAAGCCGTCTGGTGGGTTGATTCAACAAAATATGAATTGGAGGACTAAAAGAGAAACCGTATCATGAGTGGACGATCTTCTTCACCCCGGCTTTCGTATTGATATGGTCTCGTTACAACGAAGCCCTTCTTTAGAGGCGACGTTTTTCACGCAGTGACGATTTTCGTCGGTCCCCTGGATGTTTATTCTAAAGGAGAATCAGTGTAATGGTGCACTGTGGGAACCAGATCTAGAAAGGTGTCAAGCCTGTTTGCGTACACATGAATCTAGCTTTTTTAGAAAGCGAAAGTGTATGTGCTCGCATTCGCTAACAACCACTCACCACTAAACGGTGCTTGTGTTTCAGTCAACTGACTAAAGTCACAGTCACGATACTCGATTCGCAGTTCAGTCGAACTTTTGCGAAGACCTCTATTTCAGTGAAGTCATCTTCATGCTTATGAACGATTAGTGCATCGTGCAAGACTGTATTCAAAGTCATTTTTGTGGCAAAACCTAATGGTAGCCATATTTCAGTGCTTACTTCTCATAGCTTAGCCGTGTCCATTCATACTCATCTGTTTTTTATTTTCATACTTGGACCGAAGAATTCGGTAGTTTTGCGTACTTCCGTGTTTCTTCACATCCCTGTTCAGTGGAGATTTACTATTATCACATCTATCTGCTTGTTTTTCTCTACAGATCAGTTTTGCAGTCAGCTATCAGAAACGGTTCTCAAGAGAAACCAAGTTTGCTGTATTATTATTCAGGATGCTGGTGTCTTGGCCTCGCATTTCGGACTATGCACAGCCCTGCAGCAATATATGCAAAGCGCCCCGTTAGGTGAACGTGGAAGGGTAAGTTCGTGCCATTTCCGACTGCCATCAGCAGTAGAACTAGTAATAATATCTTTGTAATGTACTACTCATAAGGTGCTGAAAATCCGTCGACAGCCCACGACCGGTTTCGCCCTTTTTGGGGTTCATCAGGTAAGCGCAGTCCCCGGGTTTCCGCCAACCGTATGTTCTACTTGAATAATATTTGTTGTAATACTGTCTTTATGCCAACATTTTTACTATGGGCGCATGTCAGTTAATCCTCCAACCGTATTTCTACTTGAATAATATTTGTTGTAATACTGTCTTTATGCCAACATTTTTACTATGGGCGCATGTCAGTTAATCCTAGACTATCGCAACAAAGTATCAGCCTAGTAGAATCATCACTTTGAATCCGTTCCGTAGATCACGTTTTCACCTACTTTGTATGGTCACTCTTTCGATGTCTGGTGATCTGCTTGTGGTTTGCTTTTATTGTGAATTAACAAAAATTTAACTGACAAAATCTCTGCAGTACAGCCCCCATGAATAGCACCATTCTTGGAACCAGTTCGAGAGTAAATGGCCGATAAGATCTTCCGAACGGTTTCTTTTTGGGCATTTGATGACGTTTTATGTACTAGGTACGCTGAAACGTGTTCTGGATCGCAATTCCACATTGCAGTTTTCAATAGTATGATCTACTGTGATGAGTAATCTCACAACCGTTGTCCGGGTACTATGATCGTGAACGCACCACGAAAGCCATTTGTGTTTCTTGGCCATACACGGTTTTATATGATTGACCAGTCTCATAGGCACCATGCAATTGGAAGGAGCCGTTGGGTCTGAGATACTGCCAGATTGCCCGAACCTAGACTAGGGCGATAGAAAAGCCAGAGCTGGTTCCGAATCATGAAGTTTCTGGTCAGTAGTTTTGCGCCTTAATCTCGGGTCGTTTAAACTAGTCAGGTGGAATTCACAGCTTACGTGAACGTGGAAAGAACACTAAACCATTCATCCTTTTGACGTACGTCCACTCTATGGGATGGAAGCTCCATGAAATCCCAGCGCTGTCATACCCCCAGGTCATTCACACCGTGGAAGAAGCATTTGATCTGTCGGGGGATCTAATACTCGATATCACGCTTTAGCTTTTAGATCTGGTCTGTTTGCAACTAAACTCACACAGACAGCAACCATACTTATGGCTTTACATTATAGCTCACAGCAAGCACGGATAGAAGAACATCATGCAAACGTATGGCGCTTTATGGTTAGACATGCACCGTAGGGAACACGTATACGTTTGAATGAGCTACTTCGTCCGTTTTATGCGTTTTACGGAAACAGGGGGATAGGACGAATGTGGACGAATGGTGATAGCGGACTACCAAGGTAAATATGAAAGCAATTTGATTTTCACGAACTACCATCAAAGGACCTGATGTCCGTTCTGATTCATTTTGCTTCTCACTTACGCTAGCCGTTCCGTCGGATGTGGAAACTTAACATTGGGTTTCCAACGTTCACTGTGCCTTTTAAGCATTCACTTGTGGGAGGTTGTCTTTCAAATACTCAGGGATCTGTTTGTTGTTGTTGTTCCATGAAAACGCCTTCAGCCTCAGATCAAATGGTTTCCGTCCTTCAACTGCTGTTCATTGTCACAGAAAGGATAGAGTTTCTCAAAACCAGGTAATGTCTTTTTCTCTTCCATCTCATAGATAATATGTTTCTCGAGTGCTCCCCTTCCCGGTGGCTGTCTGTTCAATGCATTCCGATTGGTCCACTTTTCTCCAATCTGTTAATCGGTGTCCAGATTTGACTTCAATCACTCTTACTAGCCACTCACGGGTGTTCGAACTGCGGTGTTTTCCAATTCACATGGTTTTATTTCCACATCGAGTCGACTATTTTTTGAACAAAATCATGTACTTTCACCGCTCTTCCATCCGTCGTGCCTGGTAGAATTTTCCGCTCTCATCTACTTCATTTCGATCGGTCAAGGAACCAGTGTGAAAAAAGATCTTTTGCTTTGGGTTTTTTTGAAGTTTTTCTTTCTAGAAAAGTGTTTATTCTCTCTACTATTGCTTCCATTTTGCCTTTAAACGATAGATTGATCAATGGAAAGTCTGTGTTTTACATCTCGCAGTACAGGGTTATATAATCGTTTGATTAGCAGCGGTTCAATCGTTTCCAGGGTTGTTTTCTACGCTGTTTTCATTTAGGCAAACGTCACAAGCTTCTGAGTCGTATTCTGCTCATGCCTGTTGGTACTGATGCTTCCTACTGCCTTTATTTTTAGCCTGTGCAATAGTTTTCGTTGGAAGACACTGCTCCACCGACAAGATATAGTTCAATGATCTTCGGCAGTAGTGCTTAGGCTATTGCCAAACCGGATAGATCAGCATGGGAGTCGAACCTAAAATCATGCACTGAGTGCTTCCTCTACTGTGGAAGGCACTGTACGTCCTCCATATATTTGTTCTAACACGGACTGATTCGATGCTAATGTTAGGCTTTTCTGTTTCATTTCAGTTTTCACATCAAAATTGGTAGGTTACTCGCCAGAACTCCAGTCTGTTGTCCTCCATTTACTGCGGACCAACAGAATTGCTCTGTCAGAACAGGATTACTTGAAACAAGGGTAACACAAATTCAATAAATCCTTCAACGAACAAGACATTCGGGATTTGGCGTCTGGTGTAAAGTGTCACTACCTGACCAGGAATTCCTGCTTGCTGAGTTATTGACCGGTTGGCGTTCGAGCGGTCACACATCTTTCAAGAGCGAACTTCCTACTCTGTTCGGACGGGATAACTCGGGTGCATCTAGTACTCGTTAATACTGTAGCTGTAAGACTAGTCTGCAGGTTGCGAGTTTGAATTGCCATGGAGATTCGTGGGATGCTGGCGATTCTCAGTAAGGATAAAGCAGCTGTACGGTGCTTCTCAGGATAGATTGGCTTCACTTGTGCGATGAAATCTCGGTTGAATAAATCATTATTTGGCTAAAATAATCAACAAATTCCAGCTAGATGTCACTCGTATTGTATCCAACGTGCACCCCTGTCTTTCACGGTGCCCTCAAATACTCGAGAGGACTGAAAGTGAACAGGGGTTCTAGCTGTCCCCGAGTAGACGGCAGTTCCCCTCGAATTCATCTCTACAACCTAATAATGGCGTTGCATCAGTTTCATCTGGTCCGGAAGGATTGTCACAGCTGCTATGGACGACCATCCAAACCAGGCAATATGTCTTCCTATAGTGACTTCAGATGTTTTGCGCCTTTAAAATCAGGACAAAAGTTGACCGAAACCGAGTCACTGGATTAAAATGTGATGAGAAGAAATCATGACCAATTTTTTCCAGGAAGGCTTGAAACGAGCGGAAATGTAACTAGTGCCCCTTTGGTTAAGTATGCCACGGCTGTTTCCACATCTAGGCGGGTATCCAGGTAGTGTCCACAAAGCACGTATTCATGTAAACGTGCGACTGTACAAACAAAATTGTCTTAATCGGGATCTACTAATCCATTTCTCCCATCGGATACGGTTCTTTCTCTACTGGCTGCGATGTGCTCAAGTTGGTTTCAGTAAATTTTGTGGTTTGACGATGTTTTCTGTACCTCTGCGAGGACGCCTTCGCTTGTCGACCCTTTTGTACAGCGAAATCTTGATTCCACTAGTGTTTTGTTCTAAGTGCCTGTGGAAGAGATGTTTTGAGCGCCGGCATCAATCCCTTAGACCTCTTCTATGGAAGGTCAGTCAAAGCTGCGCAATTGTCTGCTGGCTTTGTTGAACACCTGTGTAGGCCCACACTGCCGCGCGTCCATAACCAACCATAGGGTTGTGTCACCGAGATCGATCACAGAACGGTTACAACGAAACCGCTGGTCTCAGTGTACAACACAACCCACCTGAGCTAATTAAATTTCCCCCCGTCATTCGTGTAAAATATCTAACACCATTAGTTAATTGGATTTCACCTTCGTGGTCTTTTTCGTCTCCGAAATCGATATATTACTGTCAGATAACGAACAGTGTGTGATCACTGATTACCAAGCTTACTGCTTAGAAATGCTTGAGATGACATTCGAATGTGGTTTTCTAGACCCTGAGTGTCTTGGACTGCTTGTTGTGTGACGCAAGTGACATGGCCTGCATGTTTCTCCGGTGTAACATATCGCCATTCCTTCTTCAGCTAGACCAACGCGCGTCTGATGCGATGCACCTGCGACAAAGCATTTGAGCACTTCTACGGCGTATAAACCTGTGAATAACCAACTTACTTTTAAGCAGCGCTTACCAAACGTAAAACGCGAAGGACCAATTAGCTCTGCAAACCCTAATTAAACGGAAACCAAGATACCACCGAATTACTCCAGAAATAAACTTAACCCAAAACTAGTCCTTGAAAGGCATGTCCATCATGCATACCCCTCTGAGAAAGGTCGGATTCACCCACTGAGAGCGATCCTGTTAGCTTTTTGTTGGTTTAACTGGTCACATTGGCCGTACTCACTCATAGGGCTGAATAACCCAAGTCTTGCCAGCAGAAAATACATAAGAAGCAAGAAACTTCTGAGTTCACATGTATAATTACAAAACTGTATTGCGTCATAGATATTGTAAATTATCGGTAGCATGATTGTACCCTTAGCAAACCGAAGTTCCACAGAGGTCATCTGACACGTCAAGAGTAGCGTAATTGAAAATTCAGCAAGGAATGTGTGAGCCAGTTGGAATAGTACAGACGTGCGAATGGGTGTATCAAATACTGAAACAAAAGAATGGAGTTCCACTTAATTTGGACTAGTTTGACCACAATTGATAGTTATGTTTATAAAAATTACCAAGCTGGTTTTAAGTTCCGGTTTCCTTTTCTACGAATAAGTGGGACTGAATGCGTGTGATCAAACTGCTTCCTCAAACTCTTTTGAGGAAGCGCTTCATTTGATTAGGTAATGCTAGATGCATGGAGTCTTTCCTGTTGCGAGAAAAAGCCCGAAAAAGCACGAGACTATCTGATTCCTGAGTGCCTGGCTTACTTTCCAGTAGGACACAGCGCCATGGAAGTGCAAAATATCTTTGACCCAGAATTCACGGCCGAATATGATTTCAAAGAGTTTGTCATATTGTTTGCATCAATCGCTCACGTTAATGGACTACTTTTGACTGGAACCTAATCAGTTCATACATAAGCCGTAGCTACACACAATACTGTTGGTTGGAGCTGTTTACCGTTGACAAACGGGCTCAGTGTTACACAGATAGTAAAGGGACGAAACCAGTCTCCGGTTGTTACGTAGGAATATGTCTTTGTGGTAACTTATGTGGTTCTTATCCAAGTTTGGCTAAGTAAAAAAAACTACTGCATGTACTAGCTTAGATGACGATGGCTGACTACCGTGATGCAGTTTCATCATGTTGCACTAAATCTGTTTGAATCGCAGGATCTCTGAATATTCAGGCCTCAGTCCGAGCAAAATAAAAAAGTATCACCACACCCGCACAAATGATAATGAAAAACCCGGATATAAATGAAATTTCGTTGCTTCAACGCAGAAAGCGATACGGTGCTTTGTTTATCCACATATGAAGGGGAAATATTCCAACTACGCCGAATTTTTCTCGTGAAGAGGGTTGTGCTTGGTTTGATCACTTTAGCACATATTTTGGGAGTAAGCGGTAATGTGGCAGAAATGTGTGCACTGCCAGTGGTAAGTCGCAGACACGAGATGGAGAACTCAGTAAAACGGAACTATAGAAGCTGTGCCAAATATATGGTCTGGTTTGAATGTTGTCGTGTGAAGTTAAAAGATCAGTGTCTCCTCACAATATATTCCATTAGTGCAGCCCGATCGGAGGACTTTGTGTCCGAATGGACAGCCAGCTATATTTGCTTGTCTCGATTGATATTATGGGCTGGCGTTCGACTCGACTACCACTAGCTATGTTTCTGAGAAGATCAGTCCAGAATATACTACAGTATTTTTATTGTGATTTGTATTTATAAGGGTTTTCCCATCACTAACTGATGTGACGGCCCTCCTCCGGAGCACTTTTTCTGCCTATTCCATAACAAGGCAGGTGAACCAAAGTAATGGTGTCTGGGAAATAAGATAACTGTTCAAACAAAAGTGAGGTGAATACAGCTTCTACGACTCACAACTGTTTACCTCATCAACCTCTGTACCGCTTTGGGAATTTCATGTAAGGCATGCTGATATCATTAAATCAAATTGCTGGGTTGACTCAGTGTCCCGACATAAAACTGCCATTTTGACGTGGTGGTCAAGCTTGAGTGCCGCTGTGATCCAGCGGGCTACACTGGCTGTTGTAACCATGCCAAGAAGGCCAAAGGGGAGCAATCAGGTCAAGAGCGATGAGAGGTGTCACGAACTCAACTCTTTCAAATTTCTCACTCCGTGTGTCCGGTGATCTAGAATCGATGACTCATGGAATATATAATGTGGGAGTTGCACTCAGCCCCAGAGCTGGGAGCGTTTTGATTGATTGGATCCCAGTAAACAGTCGTCCCTGCACTGTTCGGTTATTCAGCTCAATCAAGCTCAATGCCTCTGGATATCAAAAAACGGTGTCTGTTTGTAGTGTAGGCGTATATGTTAACGGACTGTATTTTTTGACGCTGAGAAATATCGAGGGTTATCTGATGCTCATTCGTCGAGAAAGGAGCAATGACCTTGTGATGATTCTGGGTGATGTGAATGTCCAAGTCGGTCGTGTGAGCTCCTTGGAATCACATCTAAACGGTTGTGTTGGTCATCAACTGTTCCTGGCCCGTGCAAAATTTTAGCACAAACGTTCGCTTTGCGTAACCTGAAATCCACGAAATGCAAACCAACCGTTTGTTCAGTTGGATCAGGTGACCATCAGCACACCAGTGGCGGGCCGAAATTCAACACTACCGCTAGTTCTGGGGCATTTAGCTTGATTCCGATCACGCCATGGGGTGTGCACGCCTCAGAGACTGTTCCCCTTCAGGCCTTTGCAAGTCAGCCAGTCCAACATCTTCGAAGAACTACCACAGCTCAACAGTACCGGTCCGAGCTAGCTAAACAGAAAGCATGAGGGCTGAGATACTGCCAGGTTGCCAGGTGAGAGGCAACAACTCTCTACAACAAGCCATTGTTGTACTGGTGGAAGGTTGCGGCCACATAATCTTCATCCATATCCTGGTCAATGCACCAAATGAAAGGAAGAAGACCTTTTTGGTGATGTCATTCATTAGCAAACACCAACTAAGCACTGACAACCTATCGGAAAAGAAAGTAAACTTCTCATGCACATAGTTTTTAAACACTGAACATTCTCACCCGTCCTCTTAGACTTTCATGGCTATTCACTGACTACTACACAATAGTAAATGAACACTGCAGAGCAGCTTCACAGGTTTTGTAACAAACTTCACCATCCCGTAGACGCGGGGCGGGGCTTCGATACGACCGTAGACTACGCGGATGCCTCATCAATAGCATACGCTGTTAAACTGAAAGTCAGCACTTAGGTGAAGCATGACAAACGGCTTTCAGTGCTGCTTGTCCGATCTCTCCGTTGCAATCAAATAACCTCTGGATGTCGTCCATATCACTGGTTCTGATTGATTCCAGGTGATCCTTACCAGCAGGCAACGGCACACAAATCCCTCAAACGCCAAATAGTAAAGAGCCTGAGGAAAGCCTAGGGGCTTTGGTGGACAGTGAAAGCTCGGGAGTTGAAGGAGACTTTTTTACGGGAAATATCCGTCCCCCCGATCAGCTGGCGCGACCGACTGGCCCTAGAATGCAATGGTCAGTGGAACGATAAATGAAAATGCGGCTCGTTAATTCACTCGCAAAAACATCTATTGAAAAGATGTGCCGAACACTTCGAAGAGCGTTTCAGCTGGCCTCCTGCAACACAGCCTGTGGAGATAATTCATACGAGCGAATAGAATGTACACTTCAATCTCCCAGCGAAAGAAGAATTGAAGAACGAAATATCCATATCGAACGTGAGAAGCCTCCAGGGCCGCACGGTCTGTATCCAACCCCCTTCAAATAAGGCTGAAAATCCCCGACGCCTTCCCTGACGAAGCGGACTGGTGTGATATGGAATGAAAAGCAAGTGACTACAGAGCGTTTCACATAGACATTCCTGTCTTCAAAAATGGTCCGCGGACGCTGTGTGAAAACCACCTTGGCATCAACCTGGTAGCTGGGTTGTCCAAGGGGCTCTCTCCGGGTCTATTCTTCGGAGGTTGACTGAACACAGGGAGAAACAGGTCGGTGAAAACCAAGCAATGTTGCGTACGGCAAGAAGATGCAGTGATAGCATTTTGACTCTTCTAAAGATTCTGGAACAATGACACTGTTTCCATCAACCAACAAAGGTTGTGTCCCTTGGTCTGAAAGCTGTCTTTGATACTGTGGACCGTCAGGCACTTCGGCAGTTTCACTGAAGCAGCGGTGTCCTCCATAGATTATTGAAACTCCTTAAGGCTCTGTGCTCCAACTTCCGCGGACGTGTGAAAATCTACGGCAAGCCCTTAACTGAGTTCACCACATCAAGTGATATCAGACACGGCTGTCCTCTTTCACCTTCTCCCTTCAGCTTCGTCATTGATACGATTATGGCAGACTCAATGCCAGCCTCTAATGCCTTTGAAGTCGAGGTGCGCTGGGACATCCGCTCACAGTAATCGAGTATGCAGACGGCGTAGATCTTCTCGGATCTGACTGCGTCATAATGCAAATAATATGAAACAGTCAAACTGATTCCTCACGGTTTAAGATGTGCTTCACACCTACAAAGTGCTGCTGCACGACTGGGTGGATTCGAACCCTAAGCTCATTCTTGAGGATGAGCCAACTGAGGTAGTAGACAAACTTGTCTATCTGAGCAGTTATATCATTCCTGATGATCTCGCAAAGGATGATGTTTTCCACAGGATTAGCAAGGTCAGATCGGCTTTGGTGAATATGCATAACCTGTGGCTTCCGCGTGACAGCTTATCCTTCATGGGTTCAGTTTACAATGCCGTGGTGCGCTGTATATTATTATGCGAGTGAGAAACCTGGCCGCTTCGCGCTGAGGACGTGAAAAGACTTTCAGTTTTCGACCGTCAATGTCCGGAATACCAGATCAGTAATGCTGAAGTACGTCGAATGGTCAACCGGAGAGGTAACTCTCCCACGATAGATTAATTGATCACACGGCTTGGTCCCGTGCCAAGATGCCTCTTTGCACAACCACACAAAGGGGAGAAATGAGCCAGTGGAGGTTAAACAATGACTTAGCGGCAAAGTATGAAACCCACTACAGCAAACTCAGCTGAGCTGGTCATTGCCATCTACCTGGATGGGGATCCATCAATGTTTAGAGACGTTGTCCGACATGCAGGACTCGCACCACCAATGACTCGTGCATCCATACTATTGCCTTCAATGCATAGCTCTCCTCCCAATTTCTCCAATTAAAATTCCACTGACAGCTCTGTCTTTACGCATCAGTTATATCAGCTACTGTCTCCAGTACATAGCCATCTACTGCACCTCCCAAAGTTATCTGTCAACGAAACTGCAGCAGCCACAACCACCGTACGCTGTTCTTACAGCTAGTTGTGATGATTCGGTACAGTACAGTCCCCTTTTTCGTCATTTTTTTTTATCGTAGCGCTCAACCATCCTGTGACTGAACCGTGAGGACCAGTTATTCTGGCCGGTATGTAAATCTGTTCATATTTGTTCCACACTTAGAATCAGAATTCTCACAATTGTTGAGAGTATCGATATTAGCTTAAGCTTTACTCCCGGTTTCTAAGCCAAGTGGAATTTCACCGCTGGTGAGATGGCTGGTCATTAGGGGAAGAAAGGACAAATGGTTATCAAACACAATGTAGCTGCAAGCTCAGCTAAGCAGTCAATTTTTTGGATACACAATCAACAATCACAATGGAATGCTTTCATATCAGCAGTGTTCTTGCTTATCGAATCAGGTCACTACAAAGTCCATACCAGCTGTGCATTGCGGTGCGCCCAAGATTTATCACAACCTAAGGGCCTTCCGAGATCCCGCGATTAATGCTGGATCTACCGTTCACCCAACATCTGGGGAAAATTCTCAGGCGAGAGAATTTGGAGGCATTTCCACTATACTAGTCGATGGACTTGATCTGTTGCTAAGTCCTCAGCACACATACCCCGTGTCGCTCACCCGATCAATAAGCTTGATGGAGACAACTGGATTGGAAGAGTGAAATCATGCATGAAAAATCAGTTTACTGTGCTCGACATCTGCACAACATTCCTATGTATGTTTTGCAGTTGGCTCACAGTTCACAGCTGTAGCTGATGATCGTAGCACACAGGTTTTATCTGTTTGGCCTTTGGTGAATAATGCCTCTTCAAAAAGGCGTAGCGGAATGCGATGAATGCATAGTGATAATATGGTCGATATACTCTCGAACAGAACTGAATGCTATCAGTTCTGCATGAATCAAGGCATGGAGCAGCCTAAACGAGTTTGGTAGACCATTTCTAGGTGACTGTATGAAGAATGATGTCTATGTGGTTACCAGACGGGGTTATCCAAAGCGCGAATGATGTCCGATAAAAACTACACCGGTGGTAATTTCTACTTTTTCTGTACGCCACCGATCCACCCATAATTTCATGGAATAAAAGCTTCATAAACTCATTTAGAGGAGCATTTTTTACCTCAACGACCCAACTGGATAATTTGTCTGGTGGCTTGACTCTGACAGCTGTTTTCTTCAAGATATTCACCCATACGTTGTGTAATTGTGCTCCATCTTTTCCACATAAGGCCTCAATAGGTACTATATTTTGGCTATTTGGGACAAGTATATGAGGATAGTTTCTGCCAGCCTTCGGAAAGACAAATGTAATGCGTCCGTTTGACTTAGTTCACTTGATATTTCTTTCGGTTTTTAGTATTTGCAAAAAGATACCCATAGGCCGCATGATGCCGATAGCAAGTTTGTAAAATGGGCTAAAACATCATCATAATCATCTTTGGTGCCAAATAGTGCATAATTTCCGTGTTACAGTACGTCGGGTCGCCAAATTGAATCTTCTGGATAATGCCATCGGTCATTTCAACTATTGTTTTCTCATCGCGCCTCAAAGCTGCAGATGATTGAGCCGGACTCCGTTAACACACAGACAAACAGTACCTGGCTGAGTCATTGGGTGGTAAAATGTACTTTGTATTTTGTGACAAATGTTCACATGACATTCAGAGACAGTGATACCTAGCTTGACGGATGTTCATCCACCGGTTTTGAGCCGATGACGCCGGTAAAATATAGATATATTTTCCCGCATAGTATAAATGTACAGTAAACTTGATTTGTTTGACTAACTACTATACATGTTGGTGATTTGGTATACCGCCTGGGTAGTATTTTAGAGGTACTCGTTATCTGGTGCGACACTGTTGCAGTAAGTCTTTCGTGTAAAGGTCCAATGAGATGCATCTCAAGAAGTGTCCCCAATATCGCTCTGAACTGCGACAAGTCGGCTTATGCATGCCATGTTATGAGCTGCGCGTGGGTATTTCTAGGCGAAATTATTCTTAATGTTCGGTGTTCAACCACATCTCGCAGTGATGTTGATCCCTCTCCTGCGTTTATCAATTTACGGTCATTCTTCTTATGTCAAATTTTACTCGAGCAGCTTTGATTTCAGAGTATTTCATCAGTATACCCTTCTTTTTCATGAGTTATGAGTTGATGTTCTCTGGGCAAAGGATAAATCGAAAAGACCACCAAAGACAGCCTACTTTGAGCCCATATAGTTGGTTTAGAATAAGCTACAGCTTTCCGCGTCATATTATCGCCCATAACTGATGCCTGGATAGATAACACAATGACGCTGTACTAAATGATATGGGTAAACCAGACAGATGCCACATCTGTAGTCGGAAGATTTCCGTTGTTTTCCGTTTGGACGAAGTAAGAAACCGAACAGAAACTCCAATATCCATACACAGTGTCTGGTAAAGAGCCACCGGGCAATTTTGTTGAACTCCTGACCACTTTCTGTTGGAGTGTGATAACAGGATGAGCAAAGTTGGCTTCATGCGTGTGTCCGAGTTCAAAACAATCCACCCGTAATATAAATAACCTATGACAGCTAGACGAATCGAATCCATTCGACACAAGGCACGCTGTTGTACAGCATTCCATCAGCCTCAAGCATTAAGGGACGCAGCGCAGTAATGCAACTTGCTCAAAAGTACCAGATCGAAGAGCAAGTGATTGATAGGGACGTTTGTTTTTCTTTTCAGATCCAACGTACCTTCCTGTGCCACATCTTCAACTTAAGCCCACCGGATTAACTGGAGGAGTATGTTGTTCCAAGGGGTCTGGGTTCCATTTATTCAAACAATAACACTCGTGTTAACCTAAATGACTGTTTTTTCAAACTTTCGCCAGGAAGCCTTTCACTCAAATCAGTAATAAGTGTCGCATAAAAAAAACAACACTTCACATTAGCCTACCTTCTGTAACGGATTCTTCACTCTGGAACTGACCGTCAATCTAATTTTGCTCTGTCTTTCTCCCAGTTGATCCACATCAGCTTCGACATGTGTGCCTATCCAGTTCTCGACGTCGTAGGCGAAATTGCGTTTCCCATCCGCTTTTACCACATGTACGTCTTGGTCGATAGTTCCTGTAGTAATGTATGTAACGGCCGTTGTTAACTGTGAGTTTACGAAAGCACCTCATCAAACATATGCATTTGACGGTCAAGCGAAATAAATAGGTCTTTTCCAAAAAACGCAAGTACCGATTTCAGACATTTAACATACGGTTTGCCGTTCCTTGAACCAGAACTGATAGATGATACGACGCAAATGGCATTGGGCTTGTTACTGCGCCCTAGTTACTGGGATCAATTAACTTTTAAGTTGATAAAGATGAACAAAGGGTAAAATAACTCGAAGCACGGCACTCTTCGGATTTTTCCTACAAGCCTTTACAGGGGTTGGCCTTCACGTGCACGAGACACGCATTTAGTACATTGGACACAGAAACGAGAGTACGGTACCATTGTGTAACACCGCCCATCGTAAAAAGTTGTTCTCTTCACTTACCGTGACACTTGACTCTCCATCGGTGAATTGCAGAAGAGTACGGATAACATTCTCTACCGACTATCGTTCCGGTTCGAGGTAGACAAGATATGTCGTTCAGAGCTAAACGAACTTGATACGGTTGAGCTCGTGACATCCAATGTTACCACGCTTTTTATCCAGGAGCAGCCTTCTCTAAACGTTGTGTCAAGTGATCTGATATAATCAGCATTCTGATCAGCGTAACTTTCCATTTGTTTCCATAACTTTGGTAGTGAAATCGGACCACTGGTATTCTGCTGTATAACCGCCATATCCGCTGTCTAGATGAAACTACGCACCCATATAGAACACCCTATCAGTTTGTGTAACGGATAATCTGGGAAGTCCAAAAGTACTAGGACATGCATATACAGAATTCGGCTGAATTAATACATATTAACTATAACTGGCTGCCCTGCTGAAGCAAGATTAATCATTAATTTTCCCCTTTGGTCAGAAGGCAGAATTAAAAAGGCTACTTGTGTTAATGTGTCTGGATAATAAAGCGATCTTACAATATTTGGCATACTTTATCCACTATCTATTGGTGTCTTACCACTGCACTCGTCGGACGGCTGCAGACAAGCTCTTTGCGTTTTATTTCATCGACTCCCACACAGATTCGCCCCATTTTTCTCATCTCATAAATGGCTCAGTAAGTCAATAAACTAAATTGGATAAAAACGAATAATGGAGAATACTGGGGGAATCGACTGAATCTCTCGTTTCTAACAGTCCCCAACTGAGTGTGCTGCACAAGGGCCGCCTCATGTTTTAGTTGGTATGGTACTCGAGATATCACAGTATATTTCCTTAAAGGAACTTACTCATAAGCTTACTGACAACTCTTCGATAGCCCTTGACCAGTTACTGCCTTACTGGAACTCACCAGGTAGGTGCAGTTCCTGAGATTTCTTCAACACCATGTTCTACTTGAGCCCAAATTGAACAGACTTCGCCGAATGCATTCATTCGTATGTCAATTTAGTTTTCATGGGAGACCCAACTGAAGCTGTCATTTCTGACATTCTCTAACTGAATGTGCTTCAAAAAGCCCGCATCATGTCGGCGAAACCGGTCGTGAGCTGTCAAGGGATTTTCAGCAAACATGTGAGTAGTCTCTTTTATGAGAGAGATAACCAGTTCCTCTGATTTTCAACACAAAATTAAACTCTTCAAAACATCCTCTTGTACTCGGGAAAGCCGTATAATAGCTGAGGAGGTTTCTAGATAAATGAGTGCTCATTTCGACGAAGAACTCCAGGGAAACTTGTCGGACTGGAGAGTACAACCATTCAGAGAAATTTATCTCCCAGAACCGAACGAGAAATATGTGCAATCATTGACCGATGAAACAGTGTGAAATTACCCAGACAGCACGCAACGACCCGAGTTGAAACAATTGGGGAAAGTGCTCACCTGGAATGGTCATCCAATCTGTTTCTTACAGATCGTCCGATCAATAGCTCTCAGGTTGAGGGAAATAACATCCGCGTATACATCTATCTGTATCATTTAGCACTCCGAAGCAGACTCCGAGGCTGAACTAATACCATAGAAGCTACCGGAATATCTCCAGACAACTTGTTCAACAGCATATGTACGAGTGGCCTCTCGTTCTAAGCCGATACTGAGTACACAGTTCAGCGACAGTTTGCTACAATATACAGGCACATTTGTATTTTCGTCAGAGTGCTCGCCCGGGTCTTAATACGGTGATGGTACAATGAAACAGTGGTATGGTGTGATCCGTGAACACTCTTCCACTTTGATGAACCCGTGAAATCAGAAGACTCTACTCGAGCTCGACGGTAGTGCGTCTTATTTATTCTAACCAAGTTGTTACTGGTCTAGTCTTTCAAGATGGACACAGGCTGCTCATCAACCACCAGAATTTTACTCGAACACGGCTGTTCGCTTTCTCCGAGGCCATCTTCATCCAGTTGGCGAAGCCTAAACGCCATGCTCGAAAGCATTTCACACAGACATTGAAGGTAACCAAACAAGCAACGAATGAAAGGCGCACCAGGCTCTTCCCTGTTATAGAATATTGGACAGTGAATTTTCCAACTTAGACTTTTATACGATGGGGACTGTGCACTTACTACCAAAGAAAGCGCAATTTATATGTCACGGGGGACTAACAGTATAAAAAGTGCACGAAAACACCATACATCTACCTCCTCTATCAGGACGAGCAATGTATTTATTGGGCATCAACCTAGTTGGTCTAGTAGGTCGGACCGTGCAGTGATATAACAGCTCCATGAGTTCGATCACCAAGGGGGGTCACTAACTAAGTTGACAGCATATCACAGTTTCGATTCTATTCATAGAACATTCCATGGGTTCAGATAGGAAACCTGTTTCTTCAGTACAGTGTGTGGCAGCATTTATATGTTGCCTCCCACAACGACTTCACGACAATTGCAATCCTTGGATAGACCTGAAACCGTAAATCAACTGCTACGATAACGTATTTCACACAACCACAAATGGAACACTGACTGTCGTACCGAGAAATCCCCAATCTGTGGTGATGACGAAATGCTGTCCAACCTTGGGTTTGATTGGAATGTGCGAACCACCAACTGCCTGGACGGATATCATCCACTGTAACAAAAGAAATACTGATGATTTTGCATCAAAATTACGAGTAACATTACTGCAGATTCTTGAATGAGTATAGAAAGTGCAATTGTGTTGCGGCAGGATCATTTTTTGAAGATTGAGAGAATGTTATTCCAACTGTATGTAATTAGGAAACGTCATTAGTAAGCGCTTATTCCACTTGTATTCTAATCTATTTGTCTATTCTTTTTGATTATACTAATTAGCCTATACTTGTTGGCATTACCTTATTCGCTTGAATTAATGCTCACCCTGGGAAGGTTACCGGGTAATTGATGAAAAAGTACCTAGGTTCATGTAACGTCAGAACGTTGAGTAACTCGTAGCTGATCAAAGCGAAAATGTGGATCTCAACCTCTTTGGTACCGTTGGGATACAAACATTCACAGAATAGAGAGAAAGCCCCAGTTGGTTGCGTTCGCGTGTCGAATGATCTGCCAAACTGCGCGCTGTGAAAGTTAGTTAGAGTGAATCAAGAATCGATACCATGGCAACGCGCTAAACAAGTGGGGGTTCAATGCAATCTACTTGGATGCGACTATGGGCCGGTTGAAGGAGGGCACCAGGTGATTGGTCTCCCGGCGGTCATTTCGACAGCATTTAGCCAGGTGAGATCGCTAACCACGTAGAGCATACGAACGCAGGCACACATATAAATGAATAAAAAGTAGAATAATGAACTCGCTCGAGAGTCTAAGCTACCTTTTAGACAAGTCAATTTAACATGTTGCGATCTAACAACGGAATGTGAATGAAATGGACCAAGTGGTCTTTTGGTTAGCGGTTGAAAGTATTCTTTTCCGTTTAGCATACATGGTTTTTGAGCTTCTATTCAACTTGGCCTACTTACTGAAATGTGAAAACTCTATGGCGCTTGTACGGAAGCCTTGTTGATGAATATCAGTAAGGGTGGGGTTGAATGGATGAGACAGCAGTGAAACACCGATGGTGACATCACACGAAGTGAAAAATCTAGATTTGGATAGAAACTAAACAGGGATTGTAACACAGAATTGCCTTACTATAACAATTCCATGGTTGAAAATGTCTGTTTTCATACACACGATTTCTACAAACCTAGGATTATATACTTCAGAAAGCTCACTGATGACGTAAAATAGCAACCCTAGGATTGTTCATACCGAATGTCTGGCTCCATATTACAGAATTCGCGAGAAACATGCAAAGTTGGAATGCCTTTTCAAGCCATAACGACTTTTATTTCTTACGCTTTTTTCCTCTCAAGTTCGAGGACGATAAAGGCTATACTTCATATTCCTGAGTGGCGTGCCTGGAATACATATCTGGAAGCGCCAGAATAAGACACAGTGACTTAAATTAAGTTCTAGCAGCAAAACAGGGCCGTTGCAACCCAAACAAACTGCCGATGGAATTCCACCACAATTAAGCTGAGGTTCTTCTTAACAGTACTGATAACAGATGTATTTAATTACGTCTGACGAACCGCTATCGGAGTAATTTCGGAGATTGGTTTGTGGAAGCAGCTGTAATCAAAGTATGGAGAAAAAACCATGAAATGATGGCCAATACTTGTACCAGCTGATAACTAAGAAATCGAATGGATAAGTACCCAAATTTATGGTGTGGCTCAGCTTGATAATGGTTTAGAAAATTAACTTGATAATAGCATGTCATCAGATTCAGTTTTCAGATACCAGACAGTACACTGTACACCTCCAGGGGTGAAATAAAAAATGAAAAGGTGATGCAACAGCTTCAAAGCTGTTTGACAACTTTTTCTTGATAAAACGGCTCTAAAGCTTACTTGAGGGAAACTGGCGATGTCTGTCAGACGTTGGTAGCATTGGTCTGGAGTTAAGGCAATCACTGCCTCCCGACTGGCAAGTGATCCGTCCGAAGAAATAGACAACCGACTAAGCACAGCCACAGCCAGCACGAATATTGCCAGTAAAACTTTCATTAGTGTCAGAGTTGTGAACTATGCCCAACTGCCTCAACAAATCGACCGAGAACGAATGTCATATATCCCACATTTACCCGATTGGCTGGTTTGTAGGTCAAGTTGCATTTGACCAATCAAAAAAGGCTGAGTACTTGCAACGGAGTTGAGTATTTCCAGGCTGTCCATAGAACAATGTGACATGGGCGTTGAAGTTTCCCATTGTCTGCTCGTGCAAACATGTTGCCTTGGAGCGTCCTTCTAGTATGTGATATTAACGATATCGTTGGGGCTGTAAATAGTTCTGTGCATAAAGATCATTGGAATGTTGGGTTCTCACGTTAGAAACAAATGCTTACGACTACCTGACAAAAAGACATTTGCCTAGACGAGTAGCGCGGTATATACCTTGTTCTTTTGGCTAGAAATGTAGCGTGGGACTTTCGTACAACAGCATGATATACAGGTGTGTTGGGTTAACAAATTTTCTGCATGGACTTTGCTCGACATGAGCGCGTACGTACAACACAACTGGGAAATACACAGTGACGAGTTCAGTCAGAGCATGAATTTCTGTGACATACTAAACCAAAAGAACCTACGTGAATAGTAATCTGGATACGGTTTGTCTGGGAAAATCTGAATGAAAATGAATATCCGGAGTATGCAGAAGATTGGGACGGGAAAATGACCCCGACAGTTGACAAGCGCGCGTCCATTCAACTGCCATTTAACCGTCAAATAAGTAACTGGTCGCCTGAAAACCTACATGAGGTGGACATTTAACATGGAAAATTTGAGGATGCGGTTCAGCAACAGCAAGCAGCTAAGCTCTTCCGAAGAATAGCACGATTTTTTTATTTGGTGGCCTTCAAAATTGTTTGAGCATTGCACAAACTATGTGAGTCGGACGACATGGCGTTACAATAAGCGGACCAAAGGGCGTCTACGGGCTCGCGACTGGATTGAACAGGCTAGAGTAATGACAAACCCAGGAGCTACAGGATCAACTTGCATGATTACGGCATTCGTAAAGAAAATCCCCTTGGCGCGTCAAAAATACTTTAGAGACGTTGCTTATTGTGGTCTTAAAAACAGATGTCTGGGGAATGGCTAAGTCCATCAGCTCGAGGACGGCGTAATTACTTTCTACGGTATTTGGGTGGCATAATGTCTGAAACGAGACACAACTGCGACCATCTCGGTTGTAACACCACCAAAATACCTAGAGAAGTAGAGAACGGTTCCTGAGAATCTATATTGTATTAGCACTATCGATTTCCTATGTGACCTGCAACTTTTTCTTTTGTCTGAAAATGGAGTTTCGAGAGGATGAAACGAAACGGCAGTTTTATGCTCACATAATGCAGGTTAGAATGAGAGTAGGAGCTCATCTTCATCAACGACAACAGTACATCAGTGTTTAATACTGATTATCTGCTTCCGTGCAAACATAATTTATTTGAGAGCCCCATTTTGAAGAAAAGAAAAAAATTGGATCTAGAGGGATTTACTGCTAGCTTGACGAACACATAAGATCTCACCCAACTTCCCTCACCAACATTTGAGATGCAGATTACAAACAATAGAACATATATGTCATATCATTCCGTTTATCTGTATACATACACACACACCAATATCCTTTGGTCATTGTAAAGCAAAATGCTTTTTAGACCAATATAACCTTGATTTACCACAATAATTACGCGGTGTTTACTTCTCTGGATACTCATTCAGGCAGTCTGGATAGAAAATGACAAGAGCGTCAACGTAATCTATTAGCAGCCACATCTTGCAACATCTCCAACTAAACACAATGGGGATCACGCGGTCCTGGTGATACAAGACGAGTGGCACAGACAACACCCCAAATTTTCGTAATCTCTCTCATATCTCTACCACGTCCTCTGTTTGCGACACTCAGAACTGAATACTAAAACAGATCTCTTTTCGGCAAACGAAAATCTGGTATGCACAATGCATGACCTACCCAAGGCAGCTTCTGGTGTTGGACACAGTACTCGGCCCAAGTCTACTTTGCACAACCGAACACTCGTTTTCTAATTGCTGCATTGTGGATTTGCCGATACCAGTCTACAAGAATTGTGCTTCTGAAACAAGAGTGATCGAAAACCTAAAGAGGTCTCAGTTCTGCCACCCTACAACAAAGCAGCCCATACTGTGGCCTGAAACATGCGTCACTTGAGATTCTGGAATATGCCGCTTTGTCTCCTAGCGAAGCAGTACCTAAGTACGGAGAGAAGTCCAGTACTTCTCAGTTATTAAGTTGATGAGAGTTCTCGACAGCCCATCACTTATTTCTTACTTTATTGGGCTTGCCAGTTAAACCTAGTCTCAGAATTTCTGTCAAATATATTTCCTACTTGAATACATGACTGTTGCAATAAGAATGCGCTTGCAGATTGAGTTTTTATCGGCGGGGAAATTAGCTGGAACGCACCAGAATCTTCCGTCTGTAGTACTCTTGCGGTGATTGTGCTGCACAAAGGTCTTTGATGTATCATTTAGAGCGATATTCAGTTAGCTGATCGTTTAAACATTCGGGCAGCGTGTTCTTTTCATCTAAGCACTTTGGTTGCGATGTCCCATCACGACAGAGTTCTCTGGCTCTTTTTGCCTTCAGACATTACCTCTGGAAAGAACGGTTGTGGTGCATTGGAAAAGAGAAAAAGCATGAATACTTTAATGTTGCCCTTCGGTAAACAACTTCAACCTGAATTCCCAGCTTAGCTTTACCGTTTGCAGTGGGTTGAATTACTGCCAGCTAGGGTGCGTTAACTGGTTGTTGATCGGGTGGCTGTTGATCTGTTCCTCAAGCTCGGTGACTGTATTGTAAACCGCTGCTTATCAGCAGTTCCTTTTGGAATGCAACTAGGTTTGAGTTCGTCCACTTGTTGTTTCATCCTTTATTAATGTTGGGACGAACATTCGTGAGTGGTGTATGTCCCGAGTTTATAATCAGTTAGCAAACTGCCACAGTAGTTACCGTGTAAACGGAGCAGTGAGACCTGTTTGAATCATTCACCTCAGGGTTGCCGCAGATTTTCGCAGGTTCTATCAACGAAGGGATAACTTTCTAGCGAACATACACTCAGTTGCAAATTAATTTGTTTTTTCCGAGAGACTCACCTGTAACCCAGCTGAATCTCTCGGTTTTGATGTTTCCAGGGGGGTTTTCAGCAACCTTATGAGTAGCGCATTACAACAATATACAAGGATAGCTTTCTACTTGACTGATCTCATTTAGCAGTAGATCGAGGAACAAGGGACGGGAAGCCGTCACCCATTCCAGCGGTCGACCTCATTTCGGATTGGTACATCAGACCGAAACTTTAACACAAGGATACACGAACAGAAGGACTTGGTAAACAATCGGTAGTTTTCTGCTTAGTAGCTATTTTGCTGACAAACCACAACACGAAGCGCAACAAAGTTAAACCAATCCAGAGGAGGCATTTTTCCACAAATAAAACGACCGGAGAGTGGTTCTTCTAGGTTGTTGCCTGCAAAGGGGACTCCGATTCCAAAAAGTGGTAAGACAATGAAGCGTTCTTTCAGTTAAGCGTTTCTTATTCGCCAACCAGCACTCCGAACATCTGAAGCAGTTGTAACGTAGACCGCCCCCGGAAAGTCTTGGAAGATTTAGCACTGCAAAGACCCACCAAACACATTTCTCTAATGAATAGGTACTCACTACTGTTAAGTGTTCGACTGAATCGTAGACCACAGTGATTTCTCTTTAGAGAATACGATCCCGTCAGCTTTGAATTCGTACTGCCAATCTGCTTTGGAGGAAACACTACACAAAGAGGACGCTCGAGTGGGAATTTGTCCACGTAAAAACTGCATACTGTAGACTGTTCTGCTCACTCGAATTTTTCAGATACGATCAGTACCATCTGAGTTACACTCGGATCTCAGAGAAACTGAGGAGAATCACAACAAACATTGATTGATTGTCATTTAGCTTCCTGTACCTGGAGAATGGCCTCAAACCTGTGGGATCTGTGGAGCTTCCTAAGCGGCGTTGACCAGTGTTGGCCGTTAATAAAAAGCAACGGTACCCGTTTTGTGCTGTGTATGACGTTCCCAACAGCCTTAGTCAGAATCGATAAAATCAGCCTGTGGGCAATGTCGAAACATGGCCAATAAGACATATGCATGGCGGGAATAGGAAGTGAACAACCCTGTTGAACGTTCTAAATTCATTATTACTAAAGAAGACAGAATTAGGATATAAGATCGACCGGCTTATTTGACTAGCCCCAAAAAAGTTGGACTGGTCGTAAGCTTTCGCAGGATTTTCGTCACACGTACGAGTAGGGTGGTCTGACATGACCGAATCACCTTTGGAGCAGGCTCCCCGGTCGGTCTCATGTGTATTTTTTCTCACGGGGAACCGCTGGAATTTAAGGTTACTTTACGTGTGAAAGCAAGTTGTGTTCAAAACCTATATGAAATGTTAAATATGAATTTCCGAGAACTACAGGACCATGAGGATTGGTTGAATTTCCGTCTCATCGGAAAATGCATGCTTGTGGTCGGTTCTCCAAAAGTGCTCATTCAATTCGCTTGAAACCCCATTGAATTCCTACTTAGGATTCAAAAATCAGTTTCTTTGAAAGGCGCTTTGTAAACTGACATTTAACCAACTGATTAAGAAGAATACAGAAGTCATTTACAGTGCTCCCTCATTAGAAGAAAATACAATTTGAGGGACATAACAGGGGCAGAAATGATTTCAGATTGTCTCATTATTGTATGGTGCCTTCAAGGTTCTTTCGTAAGCTACGTCCCCCTGAGAAACGAATCGAAAAATCGACATTTGTGACACGGCAGTAGAGTTTATTGTGGTTCATCTACCGAACTGCTCGTCGGTTGCCAAAAACACTAAGTCAATGAGACACCCTGTGAAGCAGGACGACCATTTCAACGTATGGAAGGTAACAAATTACACGAGCTTATCGAATGACATTACCATTCCTTTTAGTTTCCATTTTAGACGGTGGCATGAGTCAGCTGGCCGGGGTTACACTAAGGGATGTGCCAGCTCCTGTTTTAGACTCTGCAGCGTCTAATTCGAAAATTCGGCTAGTCTTTTCCGATTGTGCGCGTAAATTACAAACCAAACCGTTTCTAAGCCTTCCTATATCAGTTTTCATCGCCACGCAGTCTGGGACAATACTCGGAGAACTAAGGCATTTCAAGCCCCTCGAGCATCATTTTTCAAAAAATAAATCGGCAGAAGTTGGAGTTCTACGCGGGAAATGAATGTGCATTGAATTAAACGGTTGGTCTATGGCAGAAACCCGCTTCGGATTTCGAGATGCTCTAACTTCGTGTGTTTGTTTCCACCGTAATTCCATAACACACTTTTGGGGCACTTCGTTGCGGTCTTCATGCCAGTCATTCACTATGCGGTCGTAATTCTGACTGTCTCCCTGATGTTCCCAAGAATCCAACATCGTGGGAAGATAATCAGCTAATACCTAATGAGAACCATGGACATTTTGATCTAACGAACTCAGCATTATCATACTTCTGTAAGTCAGAGTGACCCAACTACAGAGGAACGATTTCCGGCGCCTAGTTCTGTACCAGAGGATCGGAACATGCTTGTTTTATATGGGTAGCAAAGTGTACGCGTCTCGATTGATGAAAACGTTGTCCCTACCGGGGAGTAGGGATATAGTAATTTAAGAGATGCTATCATCTCCACTTTGGAGTCATTCTCTTCCAGTGAAGCTGGCAGTGTGGTTCGCGGCGCTAACATAGTGGGGTACCTTTGAAGCCTACTGCGCTTGAAGTCACTTTAAAGAATCTAGGCAGGAGCATGTAGAATTAGAGTAGCCTCCTACCAACGAAACTAATGGAGAGTGTAAATCACTTCGATTCAGTGAAGTATTAGCTTTTCTTGGACGAACAGATATTGTACCCCTCCGCATGAGAGTCCTTCCCTACAAAAGACTTCCGATTGCAATGAAAGGTCGAAATAAAGAGCACTGCATGAACCGAATTACCCGTAAGTGTCTTGTGCACATAGGTTTGTGCAGACAAAAATACTTAATTAACTGGTTTGCTAGTTAACTAATAAAGAACTCAACACGAAGTTGTATCGTCGCAGATTGTAAAGGAGCAATGAAGCGTTCACCTTACCAAGCGCACTAACAGTCAAATATGTTATCTTTATTTATCTACTTTACAATTAAGAGTTCATCGATCAGTAGTAGTGGATTCTACCCTGAGGTACTCATGCCTATAAATGCATCGTTTTTAAGCATGCTTCCTCGAGTCACTGTGGTTCAAAATAGCGATCATTGTGCCCGTGTGTGAAAATGGATGAAAGACACACTTAATGGGATAGCTATTGGCACCAACCATAACCCCAAGAAGTCAAGAATGGAAGGTGAAGAATGGTTTAGGGAAACTTTGCGTCTTTGTTATGCTGTGATCACACGTTCACGGCGCACCACAGTTCAGGTGGTATCTGGCCGCGATGATTTAACAATAATTGTCTGAGACAAAATGATCCGATTCAGAATGCGTTCATTCAGTAGTACGGTTGCAGATTTACTACCAGAATACCTTGAAAGAGACGAACCATCAGGGTTACCATTCCAGACAGAAACTAAATTGAGACAGGCGCTCCAGATGCTGACGACATTATCGGCCAATAGTGAAACCAATTTGAGGAACGCTCCACCATCCAATCAAGTGAGCCATCCACCAAAAGCGGTTTTCGATTATCCAATCATCAACACTGTTTCAATCAATATTGCAAACAAAGATCGGTCGACCCCAAGTCCCATCACGCTAATCATAAACGAACATGTATCAGCATCTTGTTTCTTCGGGTGTACACCTAAAAAACTCAGTGAGGATTTTTTTCCGATTGGATCGTCTAGACAAACCATTCAACAAAACAAAATGCGTCCCACAACACAGTATTATGCGGGAGCCATGGGGTTTTGCCATAGATATTCAATTCTCGGTGTGAAATGGGTGGCAGGTTCGTCTGCCTAAAACGACGCGCCCCCGAAAGTACTCGCAATGAGGTTGTGGGCGAAACGACCGGCATGTGAAATATAAGTTAACAAATGAATGTGTGGTCACTTCCTAGTCCACTGTGCACGCATTAGGAAGTTCATCCTGTCGCTCAGTAAGCTCACAGATGGTTCATCATTCCAAGACCTTGAAATAGGGTACCGGCCTAATGTTCGTGAAACAGGCATGGACGTCACGGACGGAAGTGACACCTATATTTTCGCTTTCATGAACGCCTAGTATGAACACACTTTTTAGGTCAAATCAACAGCTCTGCGTTCCTGGCAATCTTAATATCAATAACACGGAGTGACTAGCTCATTCCTCCAATAGAAATTCTGCAAGCTGAAAACGGGTTTCTTTGTCATCGATTCTATTAATCATTCCGTTTCCCTAAGCAACACTGACGCTGATCAAAACCCGTCTATTCATGATGACGCATCCTTGTTATGGTGTTCACTCTTCTGCTCCCTGGGTTCGTCTGATCATTGTCACTTGTACGCACTCATTCTCATTCTCTCGTCGTATTTTCTGTCGACACCATTCTGTTGCTCCTGTCCAGGCTTGTGCAACCTTAGAGTATGTCAGCCCTCAAGCTTCCTTCGGGTTGCGCGGCAGCGAAGCATGCATCTGAAGTATTTTTATTACTTTACCTTGGAAACACTTCGCCGAAAAATACATGACTTGTATGGAGTTTGGAGATTTCAATCAAGATTTTGTCCTGTAATTGAAGATAATCATATCCAAAAGCATTGTATGACCGTTCTAGTTTTATCTGAAAGCATCCAATGCACAACTCACGAATGTGTAGAGAAATTCGAACCCACCACATCCAAGCTAATAGTTAGAGCCTGTACCCTTCGGTCACGAGCGGTCGATCAGAAGTGTGGATAGAATATAGTGTCCTTCATCCTTCGGTTTTCGCTGCGTACCGAATACCCCTGTGGATGGTACGACTCAGCTTGCTCCGTAATTTTTAAAACCTGTCACACAATCATCACCTGATCAAATGAACCAAACGACCAAGAGTTAGCAGCTAGCACAAACGATATTTGGAACATTCGTATGGATACAGTTCTCCAAGAGACTCTTTACAAGTTACAGCATGACTGAGAAAGTAACACGGATTACACCATAATCAGCAACAAAGGGTTGCCCCATGAATTCGAATACTGTGGCTGCTTCAAAAATATACCGGGCAGATAAGCCAGCGAGATGGCTCAGCGGTTAGAGCGCGGGATCCGTGGTTCAAACCCGACCCTTGCATCTCGACTTCTCTTGTCTAGGTTTGGGCAACTTGGCAGTAATCCAGTCCCCGTACTTCCTTCGGGTGGCATGGTAGTTAGGCATTTTTAACTAGGTGGCCAAACTGACTGTAGTTAGATAGATATTGAATTGAAATCCTAGTCATCTTGTAAATCAACGACCATCAACTCGAGCTGCAAAACCGTACAGTGTCTTATGGAGGGTCAAGAATATGAGACACTGCTACAGTGCCTGATGATTCGCAGAGGCAAAGACAGCTTTTAAGTCAGGGAAGGCCACCACTGTTGGTTTCTGAGAATAACGTCGCTATTTTGGAATCCGTCCGAGGGTGAAAATTTGATCGATACATCCCCCGCAGGACGGAAACCAGCTTCGCTCTCATGGATCAGTCTCCCTCTCTTCCTGTGTGCGTGACCAATCCATGTGCGAAAGGTGGGATAAGGCGCCACAGCTACCAGGCTGATGCCACGGTGGATTTCATACTATTCCAGTGCTTTTTTGGGGCCAGTTTTCTGAGAGTGGATTGGAGTCCCATGTTTTTCGGAGATAGATTCACTAGCATCCACCCTTAACGGATCTACTGGGACAGGGTGACCCATCCTAATTTATGATTCTTACGAGGGCACTGTGCACGAACTTCTGCGGACGGATACGAGTAGACGGCAAGCGTTCTCCTGAGTTCACCACTTTCAGTGGTGTAAGACACGCTGCTTTCTCTCGCTATTCAGCTTCAACTTCGTTATTGACTTGCTGCCGGAAATTTCTCTGGCTGCCTATGAAGCTTCGGGGGGCGAAATGCTCCCGGGACGTTCGCTCACAGACAGGGTATGCAGACAATATTGCTATCCTTGGTTCAGATCCTTCAAAAATGCAAAAATTTCATATGACCTAAATAACTCTGACACAAGTTTTGGCATGCGCTTCATTCCTGCAAAGTGTAAAGTGCTGCTACACGACTGGGTGGGATCAAACTCAAACGTCATGCTTGCGGACGAGCCAATCGATGTGGTGGGTAAATTTGTTCACCTGGGCAGTTGCATGAGCACTGATGTACTGGATGAAGAGGATATTACTTCCCATTGCGGTAATGCCAAGGTAGCTTCTGCCAAACTCCGGGACCTGTTGCACCGACGTGACTTCAGTCCGTCTGTCAGACTAAACACCAAGACAGCGCTGCTCTGTGGATCGGAAACCGGGCTTCTACGACCAGAGGACACACGAAATCCGTCAGTCTGAATGACGCCTCTGAAGCATTGGTCAGGTTTGATGGGAACATCGGACAAAAAAATGCTGAAGTACGTTAGATGGTTTTCGGAATAAAGAACTTTCCCGCAATAGATAAATCACTCCCAATCTATAGGTTACGCCGAAGCCCTCCACACGCCAGAGGGCTGTGCGCCTCAGAGAGCTATCTCCGACCTGCCATGTGCTGAATGGAAACGAAAACAATCGTTCAGCTGTAGAACGCTTTCGGTGCTTAACTGCCATGTCACCCAAAGAAAGTACGAGGGTCGGGATACTGCCAGGTTGCCCAAGCCTTGACAGGGAAAGTCGAGATGCAGAGGTAAGCTGGGTTGGGTCGACAATCTCCGCTTCCCTAGATGGGGAACTTGGGACTTAACTCACCCATGGTTAGTGACACTGGTATACATGGCCTAATCATGCAGTCAACGACAAAGATGTCGTCTTCAATGCATAGCTATCCAGTTCCCAAACTAAATGGACGTGTCATGATCTCCAAAGCTTGGCTGTATCCGTCACTTTCCTGTGATCGTGGCTGTAGCAGCTGGAACGAACGTTCCCTTGGTACCACTACGACAAGGCGGCAGATTTAAGTATGGGTGAAGTATCGACAACTAGCAGTCGTCACACTTACTAGTTATACTTCCCATGAGTAGCGTGATTTGTCTGTATATCATAACTCCGGTTCGCTTTCCGGCAGCAATTGCACGTTTTTCTGCTCCTGTCTAGCGTTGACTGATTTTCCAGTAGCTGATGCCGAAAATTTGATCACCTGTCCATCTCTGCAATGGATTTCGTAACTACTATGAGACAAGACGGCTGAATCAGGGATAGAATCCCAAAACGTCGGATGGCAGCAGATCATTTTGGTCACTAAATCAAGTAGGATTCCCCTGGTGGCCATCGTTTGTCAAAACGTTTTAGTTCATCTTCCTTGATAGTCTGCTGCTTTTGTCTCGAACACGGCCTAAGCACACGTTTAAACTTTGTTTTTTTTTTCAACATGTTTCGCTTTGTCACGTCGTCGGTTAAAAACATCAGGTATACTTTAGATACGAATCGACCTCCCGAACAGACAAACTCACTTCCACCGCTTACTTTATATATATAAAAACTAGCGGGGCTAGTCCAAGTTGTTCTAACCCACTCTGGTTAAGATCAGTCGTGTACCTTAATCGTGGGCATCCAGGAACATGAACGTTCCATCTAAACGAAACGTGAAAAAAATATGCGAAAACTATTTGCACAAACATCAGGCGGCTTAGAAAAAGCAAGCCATAAGAGTGAAGGAAATTGTACAAGAGCAATACTATTTTTATCTGCAAACAATGAAGTGCAAATCGAGGAAATCAGTCTGAGGTACCCTCATTCAAACGCTTGAAGGGTTCAGAAAAAGAACCTTTTCGGGTTAAGCACAACTTCTCTGCCTGCTGGATGAACGAATCCCTATCCCGTTTCATCGCCTCCGACTTTGCTTTGGTTTCGTAAATCTCAGACACAAGGCGGATAGCATCGTTCTGCAAGAGTTAACGGTAAAATAGATACGCGTACCGCGAACTGATAGTTCTTTATGGCGCGCCTGCGCTGTCCTTCACTAGTAAATCGCGGATCGGGTTTGCCTAACATGAGAAATTTTTAACAAATGAAACTCACCTATCACAGAAAAGTCCGGTCGATCGGTCAAAGGACCCCACTCATTGTTACTCGGCGGGAGACGGCGTCTTTGACAGGGTTAGCAATATGACAAGTGGTAACTAACCTAGCTCGAAACATTCCTCCGGAAGGTAGTATACGACTACAGTGGAAAGAACGAGCCAAAGCTAGATTCAACGAAGTAATGTGCGGCATCAGGAGGTACTCAGTTTACATATGCCTGGAAAACACGAAGCGGAAAGTGCACTCAGTGTTACATGAGACCAGTTCTAATCTGAGGGTGCAAGGATCGGTTCCACCCACCATATATCACTGGAGACTCGGGGATCTATAATCGACACTTTCAATAGGACCACCGTTGGAGCTACTGCTGAGATCATCGACAGCATGATATCAGTATAAATCGTTCAGCTATAGCACCCTTTCGGTGCCTAACTGCCATGCCACCCGAAGGAAGCACGAGGGCTGGGATACTGCCAGGTTGCCCAAGCCTAGACAGGGGAAGTCGAGAGGCAGAGGTCAGGTTCGAACCACGCACCTTCCGGTCAGTAAATTCGCGCTCTAACCATTTGGGCCATCTCGCCGATAATCAGTATTCAACCCTAATGCTTCGCTATCGTACAACTATGATTTACTTGAAACCAATATTAGGAAGAAAAGAATAAAGACGGACAGAAAAGGGACAGCGTCAACTTATTACAGCCATTCCGAGGTGCGCACACCTCTAAACTTTCATTCAGGCGGTCTGTGTAGAAACTGACAACAAGAACGCATGTGACATCGATTAGCAGCCATAACCCGCAGCGTCTCCAACCGAGCGTAATAGAGATCACGCGGTCCCCATCTGGGAAGGCGAGTGGCACAGACAGTACCCAGTTATCACTCATTATGATGCCCCAAGAACGATCATCTTTCAACTCACGTCCAAAAAAGATGTATCACCACAATTCTGCCGATTCCGTCTTTGTTGTCGGAGCAGAAAATGGTCCTGAATTCCCAAAACCCATTCCGTAAATGCGCCTCATCTACCAATTCACAGTTATCTTAACTGATCGGCATTTTGTTCGCCATCCAGTCCTAAACATACACTAATTCTTATGATAGCGTGTCCAACCTTGAAAAACTGTCACCAAAAATGCGAAAGAATGCACGGTCGACAACTTTCCTTTCAACTGCATGCCCCCCAAAAGGCATCACCTTACAAGATGCCTACGCCTCCAAACATTCATTCAGACAGTCCGGATACAACGCTTTTGGCATCGATTAGCAGTCAGTCTCTAACCTGACACAGTGGAGATCACGAGGTCCCCATTCTGAAGGTGAGTTGCACGAACAGCATCCAGACTTTTCGTCACCTTTTTCATACTTCTCTACCAGATCAAAGGTTCGCCACCCCTTTGCTTGCAGCACTCTAGAGTGAGCATGAAAACAGCACCCTCCTCAGCAAACGATGGCTCGGCATACGCAATACACGACCTAACCAACAGTTTGCTGCTGGACACAGTCTTCAATAGGAGTCCCCGTTGCACAACCGAACAGTCGCTTCCTAATTGCATCGTTAGAGGTACGCCAACAACAAGCCACACGAGCTATGGTCGAGACAACAATCGTCGGATACCTGAAGACGTCTCAGTCTTGCTGTTCGAACAGGCCAAGTCTCACATCTATACAGCAAAATAGCCCGTACTATAGCTTGGTACACACGTCCCTTGAGATTCAGGGATATACCGTTTTGACGCCATGTGTCTTAAATTAGCATGCGCAACCCGAGCCTTGCAGATTCGCATATTGACCTCGTCACGCTACAATCAGAACTAATACAACTTCTAATATAAGTAAAACGCTTCACAACTTCGAGTGTCCTTCCCTGTATGCCCAGGAGCATAACCTTGAACATTTTGGGTGCAGGGCGCATACCAAAGGACGGGATGACTTCAATCAGTCCATCCAAAAACAACTGCGCCTTCTCTTCCTCTTTGAAGACGAAAACCATGTCATCTGCATAGTCCGGATCGATGTTTTCGTCAGAGGCTACTTGAACACCAGGATTTTGAAAACATTCCAGTGTTGGTCACATTACCTCATCGATCACAAAAGTGAATAGGAATGGAGAGAGTGAGCACCCCTGACGAACACTGAGGTTACAATGATCTTATTACATTCACAAAATTCCGGGGCTTTCCTTGATGAGCAAGCGTGGCAAAGAGAACAGATCGGTCAACCGAGTCGAATGCGCCTTGAAAATCCAGCATTATCAAAATGCTGGGTCGTTTGTACGCATGACATTATTCTACCACTTGGTGGAGTATTGTCTGAGGCAGTCTCCTTTTCCGAACTGACAGATCAGACACTCACTGGCTGAGGACTTCACCTCATCCTCGAACAATGCGGGTGGTAGGTCAGCCGGGCCGAGAGCTCAGTGAACCTTGAGAGAATATATGCAATCATGAATCTCCAAAGCTGTGGGGGCTTCCATGCTCCCTGTCCAGGGTTCTACGTCAGCTATGCACTCCAAATGAGTGGCACTCAGCTGCCACTCACTTAGAGTCGTTGTTTGAAGCATTCACCCCCCCCCCCACTGTCGAGGTGTTCTTATCCATTCGAGATGGTCGCTCCATTCTTATCCTTGATGATTTCACTCACAAATAATCTCGGGAACCGTCACACGGATTAACTGGGCCTTTTCCATTTTTATGGCTTTTCGTGTCCACCAGAGTTCACGGTCGACGCGAACGCTAACTTGCACTTGACGTCTGATAATCTATCGGGCCAAGTTACGTTCGGGACCGGGGGGATATTTCTCAGAGATTCAAGCTGTTCCACTGTTTTGTTTGATATCCAGTGCTTGAGTGCGCGAAGTGGCTCAGTGGTTGGAGCGCCAATTTACTGACCGGAAGGTCCGTGGTCCGAACCCAACCTCTGCTTCTCGACTTCCCCTTCTAAGGTTTGTGCAACATGGCAGTAATACAGCTTTCGTCCTTCCTCCTGGTGACATGGCAGCTAAGCACCCAAAGGGCACCCAGCTGAACAGATTGAGTGCCATGTCACAGGCAAAACTCCCAGCACTGTGCAAAGAGGTAGCAATCTCATCCCAGTATTAATTCATATCTGGTGGTGGAGCAGTTGGAAGAGACCCAGAAGACGATTATGGCGAACTCATTTAACAGCTGAATCAGCTAGGCGATTTGTCCACATTACGCGGCCCTGGAAAACGAGGAGAAAAGCGACCCCGGACAAGCGCGTGATCGAAGTGTGCTTATATGTTTCAGATACCACGACAGCCACTTACTGACCATGACTGTGGTAACTGATGGTAATGTGGTCGATTTCAGTCAGTAGCCGGCACACTGTTGGAATACACCATGTGACCAGACGACTTCGGCTATTTCGGAAGTTAGTGCTACATAAAAGCAGCCACACTTGGAGGAATTGTTCACCATTGTCCGTACGTACCTGGTTCAGTCCATGTCGAGCACCCTATTGAGTTCAGATGCGCTCAGTCTGCTCACTTGTGCATTCAGATCTCCGCAACCACAACGATATCTAAGCTTCTAGCTCACCGCAATAGGCGCTCAAGGCATCATAAAATTTGTGTTTGACGGTGTCAGAGTAACTGTCAGTTGGGGTGTAAGCAAACACGGGGGCGAGATGGCGCAAGTGGTTAGACCGCGAATTTACTGACCGGAAGGTCCGTGGTGCGAGACCGACCTCTGCCTCTTAACTTCCCATGTCCATGCTTGGGCAACCTGGCAGTATCCCAGCCCTCATGCTTCCTTCGGGTGATACGGCAGTTAGGCTCCGGCAGGGTGTTACAGTTGAGCGATTTTCTTAAGCAGACACGACAGATATCGATCAAGGGTTACGGGATTACACAAACCACCACAGCACGGTAAGGTTTGACCTCTTCGTGACGGATCATCACCAGGAGCAGCTGGAAAAACCGCGCACCTGCCGTAGTGTGGGTATGGCTGTCACAGTTTCAAACGCTGAGTGTTTGGGAGGTGGGGTAGATAACTAGCATTGGGTTCGGTAGCTGATATAATTGATCCGTAGGTAGTTCGGCGTCAGTGGACTTTCCATGGGGAGATATGGAAGGGGGCTGTGTATCGAAGACAAGCTTGGATGCATGAACGCCATAAACGCGCGAGTGGGCAATTTATTACAATGTCTCTAACTGATGTGTTGCCGCGGGGTCTTCATTCAAAACATCATCAACAGCTGCAAAACCGTCGCACACATTGTATATTGGTTGTAGCTTTCAGTTTCGCTTACTGATGACCCCGGGAGATAGAAGTGAATAACTGCGTGTTGAATGCAGCAGATTATATGAGTGACCCATCAACATTAGATTTTTTTGATTAAGAAGATGGGAAGGGGGACCTACGCACTGACGGCAAGTTTGGGTGTATGCGAATCGTTGGGCACCCGACTAGGACATGGCTGACAATTGTGAGGCAGAATTACTCAGATTATTCAACATCACCTGCATTTAGATGGCAAAATCGTTGATTATGGAACGTGTCTCGCGGTCTGGTCCATGTCCCCTGGAGAGGAGACCTGATACTTACAAAGGCCCTGTTCGAATAAGGTTTGGCTAACAGGTTTTCAACCGTTGACCTGACTAACACACGGCGAGGACATGATAAAGTTTTCGAAATCAGAGCGTACACCTTTGGTGGGCAGCAATTCTTCTCATTTCCGGTAGTTGATGCATGGAATAACCTTCCTCAGACATATGTTCATACTGAATCTAGTATCCGGCTCAAAGCACTTTTTTACGCCCTTTTGGTTGCGCTTTTGCGCTGGCAAGATTAATATCTCGCGCTGAGCTTAAAGAGCAGCAATACACCATTACTCGTCTGTGTTCCTAAGAGAGACTCTGAACACAACCGGAAAGCCTCGATCCTGTGTATGAATCCGTGAAAATATGCAAGTTACAGGAGCTCCGGGGACAGTGATTCTCCGAAGGTAGGGGTTCACGATGACAGTGATGATGTGGATCGAAGACAGAAAGAAAACTCATGGGCTGCAGCCCAATAAGCAAGTTCGTACATCACCAACGCTTCTATCAATTAACCAAAATGGCAAGCTCCGCTTAGTACACTAACTCACAGGCGATTGGTCCAAAGAAGCCTGTCACTGACCCGACAGCCAGCCTGTTCTGATTGGCTGAGAATGTGAACCCAGCGGATGAT